TTCAAAAGCTGTTGCATTTATAAATGTGGCAAAACAAACAAACACTAGCTTTTGTGAATGTTGGAGCAATGTCTTTAAAAATATGTTTGTGTATAAACTCAGAGCATTGCCAGAAGAATGCCTGTCTGTATTAAGTCATCTTTCATGTTCTAATTTTTGCTTTTTGTACTATTGGTCGGTATGCTTGTCCTTCAGTGTTTCAGACCTGAAATAAATTTATTTTTTTAATGTTCATTTTGTATGGGCTTTTTTTTTAAGTTCTGATGCTTAGGTACACATAGGGAGTGGAAAGGGACTGTAAGATTTCAGAGTGGGCCAAGGAGGGAGTTTTGTGGAGCACAAGGAAACGAAGTCCCCCAGGGTCAGGACGAAAACAGCAAAGTAGCAAGGGCTTAATCTCCTCTCCTTTGTGCCTAACTCCTCCTTGGGCAGATAGGTGCCTAGCATGAGCCATCTGGGGATGGCTATATCTAAGCTGCAGACTTTCCCTTTTTCTCCTGGTAGCATGTACCTGTATGGGACCTGATACCTCACAGCAGATGTCATTTTTTCCTCAACGCCTTGCTGATTAATATCATAAAACCAAACTATAACTTTCTTCATTGAAAAATCGGGTATGATGAACGCTCATTCTTTATAAGCTTCAGTGAGATTATACATAAAGAACATGTAGCAGAAATACATAAAGACATAGCCAGCACTCAAAAGTTTTGGCTACTATTTTTATGCATTAATGATTGGTAACTAGCACCATATTACCACTTAAAAGTATTTGGATTTGAAGAGAGAAGTTCAAGTGACTTACATCAAAAGGATATCACTGAGGAAAATTTGAGGTCCCGGAGAGCAGCCAATAGAGAAGATATTTAGGGAGGAAGGGAGTGGTAACCATATTATTCAAATCAGACCTGGCAGGGGGCTGCCCACTCCACATCCTCCTGAAGTCAGTCCTGTATGCAAATAAACTGGTTGGTCACGATTAAGGAAATTGTCATTGAGACTGGAGGCTGGATGAGAGATTAGGGCGGTGAATCCCAAAGGTTTTGGTCTCAGAATTCTTTTACACTTAGGAATCACTGAAGAACCTGGGAAGCTTGGGTGGCTCATTTGGTTAAGCATCTGCCCTCAGCTCAGGTCATGATTCCAGGGTCCTGGGATCGAGTCCCGCATGGGGCTCCCTGCTCAGTGGGGAGCCTGCTTCTCCCTCTGCCTGCCGTTCCCCCTGATTGTGCTCTCTCTCTCTCTCTCCCCCCCACGCCACCCATAAATAAAATCTTAAAAAAAAAAAGAATCATTGAGGAACCCAAAGAACTTCTGTTTTTCTGAGTTATGGCTGTTAATATTAATCATACTAGAAACTAAAACAAAACTTTTATTCATTTAAAAATAACCTCATTACCTCTTAATAAATTACATTTTATGAAAAATAATTATTTTCCAAAATAAATGTAGTGAGAACAATGACACCTTTTAACGTTTAAAGAGGGCAAAAAATCTTCCACATCTGGCTTCATAGAAGGCCCCGGATTCTCCTACCAGATCCTACATTCAGTCTGTAGGGATAGGCTATTTTGACATGTTTGAAGAAAAGCTTTGCACACATGTGCAGTTGGAAAAGAAGTATTTTAGTGGCCTTTTCAGAGAATTGTGGGTAGTCTTTAATACAATAGCAAGTTGGAAAGGGTAGTATCTTTTTTTTTTTTAAAGATTTTATTTATTTATTTGACAGAGCAAGAGGGCACAAGTGGGGGGAACAGTAGAGGGAGAGGGAGAAGCAGGCTCCCCGCTAAGCAGGGAGCCTGATGCAGGGCTCGATTCCAGGACCCTGGGATCACGACATGAGCCGAAGGCAGACGTTTAACCATCTGAGCCACCCAGGCACCCCTGGAACTGGTAGTATCTTAAAGATTAGTTGCTATGTGGACTCTGGAACCATATCAATAAACCTTTCCTACTTGGTTAACATCAAAATTTAATGGTCTGTCTTGTCCTTCCAATAGGTCTTTAACCATGCGTGGTTGTAATATTATGTTTTGGCGTTTGCAAAGTATTCTTTCACTGAGTTATGCAGCTCTTCCAACTTTGATAAATCTCATCATATGATGCCAGATAAATCACATTTGTTAATACCTCTGATCTCATCAGAAAGTCTCAGTGCTGGGAAGCCGTCAAGCTCATACAAATCTCTTAAGCCTTGTTTTGGCAGACGCAGGGTTTCTAGAATGCTAATTTTAGTTTGGAAACTTGATTCTTGCCATTGGGGTGGGAAAAAAAAAATCTGTCAGTTATTTTCTCGAAGTGAGGGCCTCGCTTCATTGCTTTTTGAAAAAATACCTGCCAAACACCCATCTGAATAACCACAATTTATCTGTCAACCATCCTTTCAAGTAAAAATGATGTTCTTTGAAAACAAACCTCTCGTTCAGCTTGCATCGCAAATAAATGTACCAGTGCTTTTCCTCGAAACGAGCCTCATACTTGGGCGTATGCAGAAGTGTGTCATGCATCCTTGCCATTTCATCACACAATATTTAAAAGTCATGTGCCCAAGGACCAGCATTCAATCGCTTTTACTTTTTTCATCAAGGATATTCTTCAGTGGCTCTGACTTTCTTTTTTTCGCTGCCGCTGAATGGCGGGGAAGAACCCAGTGGCCGCCAGAGCAGCTCGGTGCCTGGGCCTTGATTCAGTGCGAGGGTGCAAGCGCTTTCTTCCATCCCTGCCTCTGCATCGTCAGAGCAAACGTCAGTGCAGTGAAAAAGGCAAATCACTTCTTTCTAGGATTACAAAAAAGTTTGACATGGGTCTTGGGGACTCCCAAGGTTCCACCGACCACACTCTGAGAACCACTCTTCTGGAAAAGAAATTGGCTGTCATCAGCGCAGAACAGGGATCGACAGCATGAGAAACCAGGAAGAGTGGACTGGAGAGCAGGGTCAAAGTTCAAGGGCCTCTAAAGAGGAGCCGAGATGGAAGAAGAGTCATTGGAGACACAACAGAGCCTGTGGGGAAAGAAAGGCAAAACCCCGGGTAGTTTTGTTAATGAAGCCAAAGAAAAGAGAGCAGGCAGGTGCAAACAAAGATGCTACCTGAAGCCATAAAAATGTTACCAGTACCTCTTTTCATAAATTATAATCGGTGTGATATTTCAAGATGAAGTTTCCAGTTTTATTTAGCTTTATAGGTAGCTAAAAGTTAAGGCCAAGGTCATGAAACTGAAATAAAACAACTATAGGGACACCTGGATGGCTCAGTTCGTTAACTGTCTGCCTTTGGCTCCAGCCATGGTCCCGGGGTCCTGGGATCGAGTCCTGCATTGGGCTCCCTGCTCTGCAGGGAGCCTGCTTCTCCCCCTCCCTCTGCCACACCCCCTGCTTGTGCTCTCTCTCTGTCAAATTAATAAATAAAAATCTTTAAAAAAAAAAAAGCCGACTATATAGCATTGTATCTGTTACCATCACCCTATAATAAACAGGGGCTTTAAAATCTAAGACCTGGGGCACCTGGGTGGCTCAGTCGTTAAGCTGCTGCCTTCAGCTCAGGTCATGATCCCAGGGTCCTGGGATCGAGCCCCGCATTGGGCTCCTTGCTCAGCGGGGAGCCTCCCTCTCCCTCTGCCTGCCATTCCCCCTGCTTGTGCTTGCTCTCTGTCTCTCTCCCTCTGGCTCTCTGTGTCAAATAAATGAATAAAAAATCTTAAAAAAAAAAAAAAAAAACCTAAGACCTTTCACTAGAATTACAGTCATTCTTATTTTCCACAGCAGGCAAAGCTCTCGAGGTAAATAACCCATTTCTGAAGCCCGTTGTTTCTCCTGTAACCCGCCGGCCAGTCTCGGGTTCTCGGATGGAGACCCCTGCCTTTACCACACTGGCCCTCCCTCCCTGCGAGGGGAGCTAGCCATCCGTGTAGGTGACAACCTGCCCTGAAATGACTTCAGGGTTCTTGACGGGATCCTGTGCCTGGAAAATGCATTTATGACACCTCACAGGAGATAAAACACCTTTGGGCCCCCAAAGAGAGGCAAGGTTTCAAAGCACACTGACCACCAAGAGGGAATACCTTGTCTGAAATCTGAACTAGGGTCTAGAGATATCCTTGAGCAGGTCTGAATAGAAGGGAGGTGGGGATGTGATCCGGAGACCCTAAGCCTTGAGGAAGGAGGAGAATGATATTGGTGGGGGGTGGGGGGGGAAGGGGGAAGACTCATTAAGATGGTGAGCTTCGTTTTCCACTTAGACAAATGTTGTATTAGGCCTCTGTCTAATTTTGTTTGATGTATTCATTTGCAATTCCCCTTTCATTTGTTACTTTAAGCCCATGATGAAATGGTCATTGTAAAGAGAACAAACTGTTAGAAGCCAGTAGAAACTTGATTTCTGGCTGGAGCCTCCAGGTCTTGATTAATAAAGGCTGCCTGAGCACCTCTCTTTCTCAGAGACATGTCTGATTCCTCCAGGGACTGAAATGGCCCCTAACCCCTGAGATTAGCTGATAGATTAAATTTTCATAAAGCCTCATCATGCATAAAAGTGAGGCTGAAATAAGAGTGGCAGTGATTTCTTTTTCAGTGAAAAGCCTGAATCCTTCAAAATTTAACCTGACCCAAAACAAAGACTGATAAGCTCTGGATCATTCTGGCCAGGGCAGGATTTATGCAAGGACAGAGGTTCCCAACACACAATCAGATTAGTATTAGAACATGTCCCTGGAGGGGTGACGCATGGGCATAGATTCCTTACCTGGAAACCTATGCAGTACTTGGTACTATTATTCATAGGACAGTTTGGTTTCCTTGTATGGCTAGATTCTGTTATTGATATGCATTATTTCTTTGCATTGTAGGCCCTTGGAAAGCATCCCACATGGTGTGTAGGGTAAAAACATGTCCTCTGGGAACCTAAAGTCTTCTGTGTGAAACATGACTATGATCTTGGGAAAGGAATTTAAAATGAAATTCTGTTTCTTCTCTTACTAACTAGAATAATATTTCCTAATTTGCAGGTTTGCGGTGAGGATGAAATTTAACTAGAAGGCACACAATAGATCCTTAACAAATCAGACGCGTTGTTATTCCCATTGTGAGAAACAGTAAAGGTAGGGACTGACTGCTGATAACACTTGAGAGGCAGTTGACTGATTTGGGAGAACATGTGTTTAAGTGTTTGAACTTGACAGGATTTATAGCAGCTGCCTTTAAAATCATTGATATCCAAAGTACTTAGCCACTTCCATGTGCGTGTGGGTGCAACACTGGGCTTGGTGCAAAGAAAATGAAATAAAACTGAATTCTAAAGAGATGGTGAGATCTGGACAGATGGGGTGGAAGTCAAGGTACTTGGGCACCAAAGAACGAAACTGAGACGCTCAGGAAAAAGCGGTTTCTGTGTTATTTGCACGACCCACAACAAAGGAGATTAAACAAGTTAAGAAGGAAGCTACCCATTAGTCCTCCACCCATATGCAACTATTTCTCCTTATTTCCCTTTCATTCACATGCGCGCAGAATCTCACACAGGTAGAAAGCAACTTGTGTATTTAACACAATATCCTAGGCATTTTCCATGTTGCTACATGGCCTTGATAACCATTATTTTATTTTTTCCAGTTTTATTGAAATATAATTGACAGAGAACATTGTAGTAGTTTAAGGTGAACAACATAAAGAGTTGATATATATGTATATTGTGAAATGATTGCCACAGTAAGGTTAGTTAACATCCAGCCCCTCACAGAGTTACACATTTTGTTTTTTTTTTGTAATGAGAACTTCTAAGATCTACTCTCTTAGTACCTTTCAAATAACCATTATTTAAAACAAAACAGGGTGCCTGGGTGGCTCAGTCATTTAAGCATCTGCCTTCGGCTCAGGTCATGATCTCAGGGTCCTGGGATCAAGTCCTGCATCAGGCTCCTTGCTCAACGGCGAGTCTGCTTCTCCCTATGCCTTCCCCCCACCCCCACTTGTGCGTTCAATCTCTCTGTCTCTCTCTCTCTCGCAAAAATAAATATATAAAATCCTTTTAAAAGTAAGTAAAACAAAACAAGACAAAACAACAAATAACCATTATTTAAAATAACTGCATAATATCCCCATCAGGCTGATATACCGTACTTTAATGTTTCTCTGCTCACGGACATTCATTCATTTACCTATTTGATGTGTATAGAGCACGTACAATTGTGTCAGGGTTTCTGGTAGGAGCTGGAAATACAAAACAGTGTCCTCTCAAAATGCTCTAAGACAAGAAAACAAACCATCAGAGTCCACAGCACTTGCTCAGAGACCTTACATGAGCAAATAAAAAGGGAACTCTAGGGAAGCGGCGCCCCCTCCTGGGGGGACACCAACATGCAGCCTCTCACCCTCGGAATCAGACAAGGCTTTTCTCTTGTTTTGAACAGAGGAGGCTCCTGATACTTGGGGAGCCCCAACTTCATTGTTTTACGCCCCTTATGCCTCTTGGGCCGCCCTCACCTCCTAGTTTAGCAAAACCTTCTCTTAGCTCCCTTCATCTCACTGAGACGTGAAATCCTGACGTGTAATCCTGGATTGTATTTGTATTTTATTTTTTGAAGATGTTATTTATTTATACAAGAGAAAGAGCACGAGCAGGTGGAGGAGTAGAGGGAGAGGGAGAGACAGAATCCTCAAGCTGACTCCCCACTGAGCGGGGAGCCGGACACGGGGCTCCATCCCAGGACCCTGAGATTATGACCTGAGCTGAAGTCAGATGCTTGAGCCACCCAGGCGCCCCTGTATTTGTATTTTAAATTGGTCTAGGCTAAAAGGAAAGCTCAGACAGCCTCAATTGTCCAGTAGGATTATGTGAGGCTTTGCACCTTTTTGTGTCCCTGAAATCATTCTGCTTTAGGCTTGTGCCTCTAACCTACCAGTACATCTGGCTTTTCCTCATTAGCACTGAAAACCTAGCTGCTGGCCCTTTGCCTGGCCCGGGGCTGGGAGACCCCTTTCCACTCCAAAAATGGGACCGGCACTCCCTCTATTGGTCATTTCATGAACTGCTCTGGACTCATGGCCGCAATTTCACTGGCTTGCTGAGGGGATGTGTGGGCATGTTTGGGGGAGGGGGGACAGGGATGTGCCAGTTCATTTTAGCCGTATCTCCAAACCAGTAGGAGTCACTTGCCCCCTAACACACACACACACACACACATGCACATGCACACACAGGTTAAACAAGTGAGTGTGTCCTCACACTCCCACTGTCTGGGCTACATAGCAGGGAGCCGTGGTGAACATTAGCCATTGACAACTCTCACACGTTTACTGGCACTTTCGAGGCAAATACAGGCATATCCTATTTTACTGAGCTTCGCAGATGTTGCATTTTTTACAAACTGAAGGTTCGTGGCAGCCCTGATCCAAGAGCAGGTCTCTTGGCGCCATTTTCCCAGCAGCACTGGCTCACTTCGTGACTCTGTGTCACATTCTGGTAATCCTCGCAATATTTCAAACATTTTCATTATTATTACCTGTGAGTTGCTGCAATCTCATGACGAAACTTGAGAGGATGAGGCTTTGCTTCTTAAGGATGAGGACAGAGAGTGGCTTCTCGAGATGGACTCTGCAGATGAAGATGCTGTGGAGATTGCTGAAGTGACCACAAAGGGTTTAGAGTCTGCGCTGTTGTCTCATTTTAAGAAATTGCCACAGGGGCGCCTGGGTGGCTCAGTTGGTTGGACGACTGCCTTCGGCTCAGGTCATGATCCTGGAGTCCTGGGATCGAGTCCCGCATCAGGCTCCCTGCTCGGCAGGGAGTCTGCTTCTCCCTCTGACCCTCCCGACCCTCCCCCCTCTCATGCTCTCTCTCTCTCAGTCTCTCTCTCAAATAAATAAATAAAATCTTTAAAAAAAAAAAAAAGGAAATTGCCACAGCCACCCTAGCCTTCACCCTAACCCTCGCCCCCCGATCAGCCAGCATCAAGGCCAGACCCTCCATTAGCAAAAAGATTCGGACTCACTAAAAGCTCAAATGATGGTTAGCGGTTTTTTAGCAATAAAGTATGTTTTAATTAAGCTATGTCTGTTTTTTAGGCATAATGGTGCTGCACACGTACAAGACCACAGTACCGTGAAAACATCACTTTCAGAGGCACTGGGAAACCGAAACATTCACTGGACTCACTTTACTGTGCCAGTCGAGGACCCTGGTGGCCTGGAACCGAGCCCTCGGGACCGCCGAGGCAAGCCTGTTCCGGCAAGGTTGGTGGAGGCTGACTCAGCTTAACTGTCTTGCACAACTTGTGCAAGATGGGGAAAGTCAGGGTGTTTTGGCCGGAGACTGCGCCCCCGTGGAATCTGTGAGCCCCTCCCGTGGCCCCGGTGTGCCCTCCAGCCATGCTGCCCCAGGCCTGTCCCGGTGCCACCGCGCTGGAGGGGGGGAGCCCTCGCGTCCTGCCATAGGCAGCCTGCAGCTCGGCCGCGTGCTTTCTCCAGCCCCCGTCCCTGCTGACGCAAAAGCAAGACGGCTGAGGCTGTTGTGACTGGAGTCCCTGGGCGTCACACACAGTCCCCTTGGCCCTGCCTCCCAGCCCAGGGCTCCAGGCTCACTAGCATGGCCTACTTTAACCAAAGGCTCTCCAACTCGAGTGTCCTCAGAATCACCTGGACCGCTTATTAACACATAAAGTGCCAAGCCCCGAGCCCAGAGGTTCTGATTCGGCAGGTCTGAGGTGAGGCCCAAGAACACATATTCCTGATAAGGCCCCAGGTGACGAGAGGCTGATCCGAGGACCACACCTCGAGCCTCGAGAACAGCTTTCCAGCAGTTGCCAGCTGGCCTTGCCTCCCCAGATGGGCTGAACACACACATGGCCTCGTCAGGTGGGTCTACCTGGGCTCAGCGCCCCTCCCCCAGAGGCTCCCCTTAGCTGCCCCCAAAATGCTTCCTCGGGCTTGATTGGAAACATGACCTGGCTGTTCTTTTCACTGTCCAGATGGGAGGCTTTTGTGTGTCCCCAGTGAAGAGGAACAAGGTAGGGATCTGGTTTCTCAGACACGCAGACGGTTCTGAGCCCAGCAGGTGCGTCTGGGACTGTGGAGGGAAGGAAGGCAGGTGGTGCTGCTGGCCTGTCTCCAGCCTGCGGGGACCACAGCCAGCCGGGTTCCACTTCTGTGCAGAAGCAAACTCCCGCCCCCACAGAGTCCAGGGAGGGCCAGGCTGAGCCCTGGCCAGTGCCAGCTGTCACTCTTCCCCGTCAGCCCTGTATCCTCCTCCCCTCCCCTTTCCTTTGGACCGCTTCAGGAGACAGGGTGGGTTACAGGTGGGAGCAGGGCCAACGGGGTTAGAAGAACTGGCTTCTAGGAAAACAGTTTCCTCCCCGGTGAAGACGGCAGACACCACATCCCCACAGCCCCTGACTGCCACGAAGCCGGGAAAGCAAGCGACACCCTTACCTGGTCTGGAGGAAAAGCAGCAAAGGAGAGAAGAGGCCCTACCTCTGGAACTGGGCAGGGAACCCACCACTTCCAACAGGGAGAACTCCTGGGCTTGAAGCAAAGGCCTCTTTCTTCGGAGAGAGTAGCTTGGTAAGGACAGACATGGGGAATTTGAACAGTGAGAAGGCGTGTGGGGGGTCTGTGCCTGGCTCGTGCTGTGGCCCATTAGCGAGGGTGGCGTCTGTGGGCAGAGGTGAGGCGGGCAGGGAGCAGGTGCGGGCAGGCTGCCCGCAGAGTAGGTGCTCCAGCTGGGTCTGACCGGAGCGGCCGCCTGGGCCCCTTTCGAGACCTCCTCTCCTTCCCTGTCTTTTCCCACAGAGCCAGGAGTTTCTGTCCTCAGCAAAAGCTCCAAATGCACCGAAAACCTGACCTTCCCCAGTCCTCTGAGCTCGAGTCTCCTGCTGCACAGTCCGGGCTGACTTTCCTTCCTAAAGGACACGTGGCCGGAATGTTTTGCATGTTCCTGTCACTTCAGCCCCCTCCCCAGACAGATGAGCTCTCTAGAAATGGGAAAGATTCTCCTGAAATAGAAGGGTTGGCAGGAAGTCTGTCCCGCAGAGCGGACCAGATCCCATGATCATCCCTGTCCAAGACTCACACGTAGTTTCACAACAATAACCAGGGATGCCTTCGATTAAGAAACCAAACCAAACAAAAAACCCCACAGATTGTTCAAGCCCGCTCCCAGAAACTGACTCCTCGGACCCAGAATGGGGCTGTGGAAGTGTTCACAAGCATCTGACGTGTTCCCAAAGCAACTGGGCTGTGGCCATCCTTTGTCTATGCAGGCTCTTACCGCCCGTTTGGTAACCTCTGATTTATAGCCAGTTGGTCAGAAGTACAGGGAACTTGCCACTGGTATCTGAAGTGGGGATGGGGGCAGAGTCTTCTGGGACTGAAATCTTGCACAAGTTGTGCAAGACATTGGGGGATTACCTGGGCTGTTGATGAGTGGGGAGATTCCTCCTGAAACAGTGCTTTGGGGGCTTGGAAGATCTAATCACATCTCTGGGTAGGAAGGAGCCCCCAGATAACCAACCGAAGCATCGCCCAGGGCAGGGGGGAGTGTTCAGTGATGGCCCCTCTGCAGAAGGGCCCACGGGCAACATCACTGATCCATTAGCAAGCAATGCTGGCCAGACTCCCGACTAAACAGTTAGGGTCCTACTTTAGGAGGGGATAATAATATGCTCCATCTGTTGAGAACAATTCCCAAAGGCGTTCATCTACGTGATCTCATCTGACCCCCGTGACGGAGGCTGCTTTGGATCCTATAACCACAGCAGCACCAAAAGATGGCTGGGCTTCAGCAGAGCCCTGCCTCGAGTTCCCCAATTCCCCCTCCCACCCCAAGCCTGTAATCTAAGCAGAATGGTGTACATGTGCTTGTAGACAATTTCCCAGCACAGCCACCTCCTTCCTGAAGGCCCCCTAAGTGCCTCCTATAAAAAATTCTGGAGCCTCACTAATTACAACCATTTTGCAGAAGAGTAAACTCAGACTCAGGCTTGCCAAAAGTTGCATAGCTATGGAAGAATGGAGTCAGGGCCTTACTCCTCCCTCACTTGGGCCTCAGTCTGCAGATTGCCCGGGGAAGGCCTCTCTCCTAGGTTCTGCTGCCTCCTTTGGAAAGGGGAAGTGAGAAGCCCCGAGTCAGGAGTGCCTGGTGGCAGTTCCAGCCCCAGACAAGAAATTTCTGCCGCCCAGCATCCATAAGACAGTTGCCTGGATTGGTCCACAGAGACCCTCAAGAAAGAAGGCCTCCCACACCCAACCTGCCTGGGGGTAGCCGTCCCCGGTTTCCCCAGGGAAGCTCGCTTTCTAAGTCTGCTCCATGCCCTGGGCCTCCCTGTGAGGATGTGCGTCAGTGACAGAGGCCGGGAAAGACGTTCCTGGCATACAGAGGTAGACACTCTAGGCTTCGAATAATGATGATGAGAGTGAGCCACACAGGTGACCCCCAAATTTGGGGGGTATCTGGAATCTTTTGGCAAGACAAAAAGTCCAACAAACCAAACCCACATCCTCCTGAGCCAGACAACCAGAGAAAGTGTGAGGTTCATCTGTTAGGCTCTTTGATAACAACTGTATATTGAATAAAGTTTAAAGTATAAATCCTAGCATGCTTTTCTCGTGTTTATTTTAGCAACGGCTATGTAGCTTCAAGTCTGCAGCGGAACATTTATCTTAGAGCAGCCCCTGGGTTTTGGGTACCCTTACTGTGAGGTGGCTGGGTCTCACCAGTGAACTCAGGAGAGCAGGGCATTGGGGAGCCACCATCCAGACTTGGCTCAGGACTCACCTGCGCCTGGGGCTTGTGGTGGCCGGGCCGCTCCCGGGACCCCAACTGTCCCTCCTTTGGATACATTGAGCAGTGGTTTTGCTCCCTCTCCTGCCCTCCCCCTCGCAGACCCTGCTCTGCATCCCTGGTTAGGAGCCCCGAGGGCAGACATGGGTATCCTCCGGACCTCAGCCTTGCTCCAGGATGGAGCGGCTCCCCACCCCCACCTCGGACAGAGGCCAATGTCCCAGTTCCTAAGTTGGCTGGAGCCTCCTCCCTTATCAGAGATGCTCCTGAGCCAACGAGGGGCCTGGGAGCAAAGGGCAGGGCAGCTACGCAAGGAGATGCTCTGTCGCTGTTGGATCCCATGGGTTTCTGGATTCAAGAACTGCCTGGCGTGACAGCCAGCCCAGAGGAGTTCTGCGTGGGGAATGGGCAGTAGAGAGTGGTGGACAGAGCATACATAGCTGTGTGACTTTGGTCAGGTTGTTAAACTCTCTGAGTTTTACCGTGTGTGTGGATTGAATGAGACCACGACTTCCCCACACAGTGCAGGATGCCTACAGACACTGGTGCCCTTCCTCCTCTCCCAGAGTCTGCCTACCAGGCAAGCTGAGCACATCCCCTGGGAACCCCACAGCTACTAGGTCCTTCCATAAAAATGAAAACTCAGAGTCAGTCCTCAGGGTGCTGAGCCTCCTGCCCCTGCTGCGTCTGAGGCCAAGGGATGAGGGAGAGAGCACGTGGTCTTTGTCTCTGGACATTTCCTCCTCATTAAGCTCAGATGTCACCCCCATCCCTGCAGTTCCCCATCACAAAGGCAGGAGATGGCTGCACCCTGAGGGTTCATCACATTTTCTCTTCTACCTCCAGCCTCCCCCTGCCGACCCCCCCCCAACATCCCCAAGCTCCGGGCATAGCCAGGGAGTGCCACACCAGGCCAGCCCTGGGGCCTCAGGGTCCTAGCTGGCAGGGTCCCAGGTGGAGTTCTGTGCTCTCTCAGAGAAGAAGGACCTCTGTTCCTTCTGGTACGCTGTGAGGACAACGGAGCCTGCCCCTGATGGGGTCATCAGTCTGATGGCAGAGGCCTCTCCAGCCGGCTATGTCTGGTCTCCAGAAAACGTAAAGGCAGGTGGGTTTGGCCTTCTAGCAGCAGAGTTTGGGTTTGGCTCTGGGCTGGACTCTAGGCTAAGTCTTAACAACTGTCCATGAGGCTAGACTTGGGTGAGTCCCCTGCTACACCTGTGGATTCCCTGTGCTTTCCAGAACTTGCTTCCTAACCTATAATATTAGCACGCTGCCTCCTCAGCCTGAGTTTGTCCGGACTTGGAGGCTGGGCTGTTGTTTGCTCTGCAGCCACTGGGTGGCAGTGTGAGGCACACGCCTACCTGCAGCCGGGATGCTCAGCCGTGTGCGCCAGAATCACCTAAGGACTTGTTCAAGCACTTTTGTCCTGCTTCTTATGAGCTGTGTGACTTTGGGCAGGTTACCAATCTTTCTGAGCTGGTTTTCTGATTCAGCATGTCTAAGACAGCGCTGAGAATCTGCATTTCTAGCAAGTTCCTAGGTGATACGGTTGTTGTTCACGGACTGTATCGGGGCTAAGAGCTCTCCCAGGTCCTTGGGAACCCAGTGGCCTGACTCTGATTTCAGGAGGCGGGTGGCGGTGGTCACAGCTCTTCTTCCTGGAAGGCTCCTCTGCTGATGCCCCCCTCCCCCGACATCCTTTGTCACTGAATCCCTAGGGCACCTCTCCACCAAAGCTCTCAATGGCCGAACAATTAACCTTTCTCCAACCACAGGAGTTCAACAGAGGGAAGGTGCCATTGGAGAGAGAACGGGAATTGGAGGCAAGTAACTGGAGAAGGTCAGAGAGGAAGAAGACAGCAGGAGGGCGCCCTATACACGCACAGTGGTCCCAGGGCCCATCCCAGATGGGGTCAGCGCCATGGGCGCTGGGCACCTGAGATCAGAAGACAGACCTTGCCAGCTCAGAAAAGAGAACCCTTGGGGGCCAGGCCCTAGAGGCCCCCACCTCCCCACCCCATGTGCTTCTTCCTGACCCTATTCCCAGGCTCTTGGTGGCATGCGACTCTTCTGACCAGTGGAATGGGATGCCCTTCCTGACCTGGCCCACAAAAGGCTCCCTTGTGACCCTCCGCTCTCCCAGCCTGTGTGGCACTTGGATGTCAAAGTCCTGGCCTTCCTCAAGGGTGACAGAGCCTTTGGCATCCTACACGACTGCGTGGGGCAGGGCACCCCCCTCCCTCCCCATGCCTTTAGACTGCACAGAAGCATGAACTCCTACTGAATGAAGCTGCTGAGATCTCAGGACCTCCCTGTTACCACAGCTAGCGTTCTCCTGACCAATGTATCCGACGCCTGCCCTGTCGGGAAGTGAGAAAGAGAGCAGATATGCCACCACAATGTACAACCGTACAACCGTGCTGGTCTCTCCAGAAGCCTAATCCGAACAAGCACGCCTAAAGTCTCCCGCTCAAGGACGATCAGAGTCCCCGCCTACTGAGAGTTATCAGTGCCAGACACTGCTTTGTCTTCACGAATTCATTACTCCTCACAGCAACGTCAAAGGTGGTGCTGTTATAATCCGCACTTGTAAGGCGCCGAGCTGAGAGGGGCAGTTGGGGTGCCGTTCAGTACGGTGCCCAGATCACATCGTAATAGCCTCCGGCAAGAGGCAGAGCTAAGATTGAATCCAGGGTATCTGTCTATAGCCCCCACACTCTGAACTACACCATCTGCTACCCCAAAGACTCAAGGCCCCTCAGCTGTGAGGGGCTTACACTGAATTGGGAAGACATGATGGATACCCGGGAGAATGAGTTCGGGATCGGGGAGAAGAGTTTTTCTGACCCGTGGGTTGCTTGCTGTGATACTGTGATCTATAAAAAGAAATATATATTTGGTCTTCGTCACTGTTTCTGGCACTAGGATCCTGAAACCCTTGGAATTTCCTGTGATAAGAGTGATAAAGTGTCTTTGGTTATGGTAATGAGAGACTTTTGGAAATTACCTAAGGATGGGAACTGGTTGCCAGGGGAACAAACCATATGATTAGAAGGCTAGAACTTTTGGTCTCATCCCCCCCAACACACCTACCTCTGGGAAGGGGAGAGGGAGTGGAGGTTGCATCAAATGCCAACGGCCAGTGATTTAATCAAGCATGCCTGTCATGAAACCTCCATAAAACCCCAAAAAGATTGGGTTCTGCGAGCTTTGTGTTGGTGACCACGTGGAGATTTAGGGAGAGTATCTCACTTGGGCATGGAAGCTCTGAGCCCTTTCCCCATACTTTATCCCATGCGTCTCTCCAATACGATTGTTCCTGAGTTATATCCTTGTACAATAAACTGGTAGTTTACTAGTAATTAAAATGTTTCCCTGAGGGGCGCCTGGGTGGCTCAGTCATTAAGCGACTGCCTTTGGCTCAGGTCATGATCCCAGGGTCCTGGGATCGAGCCCCGCATCGGGCTCCTTGTTCAGCAAGAAGCCTGCTTCTCCCTCTCCCACTCCCCCTGCTTGTGATCCCTCTCTCGCTGTGTCTCTCTCTGTCAAATAAGTAAAGTCTTTAAAAATTAAATAAAATAAAATGTTTCTCTGAGTTTTGTGAGCCACTGTAGCAAATTAATCAAACCCAAGCAGGGGATCATGGGAACCTCTGATTTATAGCCAGTTGGTCAGAAGTACAGGGAACTTGCCACTGGTATCTGAAGTGGGGATGGGGGCAGAGTCTTCTGGGACTGAGCCCTTACCCTACAGGATCTGACCCTATCTCCAGGTAGATACTGTCAGAGTTGAGTTAAATTGTAGCACACCCTGCTAGTGTCCGAGAGTTGCCTGGGTGATGTTGGTTACCATCCATCACGCCTCGACATGTTGGAATTGGGTGCCAGAACTGACTTGTTAAATGCAGAGACTGATGGCTCCACAGTGGAAGGGGAAGGAGGAAAAGAAGGTGGATTAATGTAACAAGGACAGATCCCCAGTAACCTCATTACTCAGTTCTATGAAATGATCTATAAGTTTGGGGAACTCTGTGTGAATCATCAGATTCCCAAACTTCCCTTCCCTTCTGGCTCTCTGCACCATCCTGCCCCCTCCTCTCCAGCTTGTGGTTTCAGATCTGTCCCAAGAGTTGAACACAAGAGAGGGTCTGTTCGCTGTTATATCCCTAGCACCTTGAACAGTGCCAGGCACATAGTAGGTGCTCAATAAATACTTCTGGAATGAATTAAGGGAGCAAGAAACACAGCTGGCTGGAACTTGGCACCAAGAGCCTGACTCTCCCCTTGGAGTCTCAAATCATGGAATCTTATGAGCAGGGGAATTCTTAAGAGGCCATTTGGTCCGTGCCTTGCTTCTACTGAGGAATGCCTGCCAATCATCCTCTCTCTCCTTTCCTCAAAGTCTTAATGAATGGCAGGGCTGAATGAGACCTTTAGAGACCATCTAGCCCCGAGGGTCTCAAACTTGGCTGTGGACAGTATTCCAGGTTGTGGGAGACTCATGCCTGGATCCACTCCCAAAGAATCTGATTTCATTGGTCTGGGCTGCAGTCCCCCAGGTGGTTCTAATGTGCAGCAAAGGTTTAGAACTAGGGATCCAGTCCAGCCCCCCTCATTTTACAGACTAAGCCTCAGAAAGGGGGGAGAAGGAGTACCCAGGATTATTTAGCCTGCTCGTGGCAGGCCTGAGCCCCCAAATTCAATGAGTGCTCTTAAAAATTCATTTAGGACAGAACACCCTTCCCAAGGTCACATCTTTTCTTCCTTTTTT